GGATATATATATATATAACTTTTATGCTTTCAAAATCGAATCGACTTGGTTATATTTATTTTTCTGTTAACCCGATTCTCATCTGACGAATTCACAGGTGGATCAATGGAGAGCTTCCTGATTTCTACGATCTGATGACCACTCTCCAGGATCAAAACAATCACAACGTGGCTGGAGGGTGGCTTCGAATTGATATTAGGAACCGGAGACTTGTGTCTAACCTGTAATACTTCACCATACCGGACCTACAGCCGGTTTTGTGGAGTGCCTGGGTTCAGTGGGGTGAGGATACGGTGTTACAATCAAATGCATGTTGATTGGGTAACATCCAGGAAAATCCGAACTGAGTCCTTTATTTAATCTACGGAGCTCCCATGTCTAGCGATATCTCGCTTATTTTGCTCAGTTATTACTCACCTTATTTCTACTGAGTAATCACTACCCGGCTCGGGGATTGAACTCACAATTACGATATCATCAAATTCACGAACCAACATTTTAGTCCACCAGAGAACAATAACCTAGCATGTCGACATGTTTCTGATGAAGCCCGAAGAGCACAACGGCCGAAATATCACCTTTTTGAAATTGTTATCCATTTCCTTACGCCTGTCATTTAAATGTGTAAAATATTGTTGCAACGGTTTTTAGTCTAACTAGAATTAGTGTTCGCGACAATCCCAAACAAATGTGAGCCACATTGATATTGTTGTAGCATAAATGATTGATTCATTGATTTTTTACAGCTTATCAACCTTTTGTAGTTTATTTAATGCCGAATCATCTGAGGAAGGCTGAGAGCACAACAGCCGAACAGTTGTGATAATAGCAACAAAAATGAGAACAATAGTCCGAATGTTAAAAGTGTAAATAACATTTGGCTTGTCTACCAATCTGATCACAACATTGGGAGTCAATGAAGTTATTAGTCTCTAGATCGTGTTGTTTATACCACTGGACACAATGAAACATTATTTGGGATTGAAACCATTTTCACCATAGATCCGGAAATTTTATAGGGTCTTTCCCTAAATAACCCCCTTTTATTCTACCCCAATTCAGTTTTTGTTAAATTACATTAGTCTTCCCACCCAAAATAATTTTGAATAATTCACCTGTCAAATTTGTTGTATTTAACCTATTTTTCCGAAAATTGAGTTTTATATTCTTTTTTTTTGTTTATTAAACTATAAAAAACCTGGCATAATACGGGTATTTGATTCTGAGAAATGGATAAAAGTATTCAAAATTGATGGCTGAATGAATAATTTCGTCGTTGACTGTATGTGTCTATCTACATATCTTACTCTCTCTCTCCCTCTCCCTCTCTCTCTCTCTCTCTCTCTCTCTCTCTATATATATATATATATATGTGTGTGTCAGTGGTTTTCAACCAGGGTTCCGCGGAACCCTAGCGTTCCGCCAGTAAAGCTCAGGGGTTCCGCAATAAGTTACACAAGTACTATGATTGACAGTAATTTTTAATTCTCCTGTGCAGATATAGTGTAACCCGGATATAAGAGAACCGGATATAAGAGAAACCCGGATATAAGAGATCCGGATATAAGAGAAACCCGAATATAAGAGAGATTTTCTCTGGTCCTAAATTAGAGCCTGTGTTAATGTATATATAATAGACCAAACCCGGATATAAGAGAAACCCGGATATAAGAGACTTCTCCTCTGGTCCCGAAAACTCTCTTACATCCGGGTTACACTGTATGTGTTTAGGTACCTCCACTAAATCAATAACAAAACAGCAGAGTCTGAATAAAAAATATACGTATATATGAATAAGTATGAATAAAAAAAAGATCCCAAACTTAATAAAACTTTTTCCATCAAAATGTTTATATTTTTATTAAGAGGAAAGATCAAAGTAATTTTTAATTATTCTTAAAAATTTTTTAATCCCTTCGAACATTTTCGAAATTTTTGTCAGAAAATTTCGATTTGATTTGAGTTTAGCGATTAAACAAACGTTACGACTGTTTGACAATAGAAAACGTAAAAATTATATCACCTACTTTTTTTCGGTGACAGACATATTAATTTGGAAATTCTCACAAAAATCAAATAATTGTCAAATTTTAATGAAACTTTTTTTTGTAAATAAATCTGAAGATGAGTATTTTTATTTTATTTTAATAATTGAAAGCTTTTTTTTTGCATAAGACAATTAATTTATTGCAGGGGTTCCTCAAGCCACTGGAATGTTTCCTTGTCGTTCCGCTCCAGCGAAATGGTTGAAAACTACTGATATATATATATATATATATATATATATATATATATATATATATAAAAAACAAACCTGATAAGAAATCGGAAAACACAGTACGACAAAACAGATATGTATCAAAAAGTGCTCGATGCAGATGCCTTGAAAAAGGACCTGCAGGGTAAATAAATATGATGAAGGAACAAAAACACCTTAAAAGACGAACATGGCAAAAGGCCAAACATAAAGTGGAGGATCTTAAAAGAAGTCAAATTGAACAGAACAAATGGCAGAAGTTGTAGGCTCTGCTAGGAAGAGAAGCTGATGATAACAACTTATAAGAACAGCTGTATGTTGTTAAACTGTAGAACGGAAATAATGTCGAGGTGTAGATATATATATATATGTAAATATATCCTCGGTCTCTATGATCCCAGATGAAGAATTTTTTTTCTGTACACCTCCTTCCCCTTCTCTACTTCCGGTGCCATAGCTGTATAAGTGTAGAGTATGGTATTATGAATACTTATTGGCTGTCCCCTGAACAGAACTGATGGTCGAAACCTAAGGTGTTTTTGCCCCATTATTATCGCTTTTCTTTCAACTGTGCACCGATGGCTTAGAGGGAAAATCTCCGACTGTTGACAAATCAGTCGCGATTCGTTCCTTCTTGAAGCAAGCGGATATCTAGCCACACCGATGAGCTGTGAAACAATCTGTCTGTGGATGACTATATATATATATATATATATATATATTTGAACAAAAATGTCATGCCACAGAATTTATATAGGGTTGTAAAATAACAGATTATTTTAGTAATAAGTTTATTTTATCGTGGCTCCTTATTTGTGTCCCCCACCCCTTCACTTTTTGCAGTTTTTGGCCCTTTTAATTATTGTTGTTCCAACGAATCTTTCCGAAGAAAGGTTCCTTGAAAAGAAGTCGCTCCGTCATTTTAAAACCACACGCAGCACACACACACACACACACACACACACACACACACACACACACACACACACACACACACACATATGTATTGATTTTTTAAGCGTAGCTTAGATGTAGCAGAAAGCCGGATCTATGGAACACCCAGTGAGGAGCGCACTGACTATTTAGTCATAACTGTTTTAGCAAGACAAGCTTGCTAAAAAATTACCCCACGCTGAAGTGTCCCCATGGATGTGTGTGTGTGTGTGTGTGTGTGTGTGTCAATATATATATATGTATGTTTGTTCTTATCTATCCACCTGTCTTAGTCGTTGTATGGTGTCCTTGTTTAGGACACACACACAGGCACTATATAGAATATATATACTATATATATATATATATATATATATATATATATATATATATATATATAAATAAAAAAAAAGAAAGAACAGTAAGATATATAATCCGGTGTTCTTATAGATATTTTTATTTTTACAAAATAGTGCTCGATGTAAATGGAACTAATGTCTTTAATTTAATTACAAAATTAAATTCGGGGCTTTTAGCTTCCATTTTTGAAACATAGTTAGAACTTATTGTGGGAAAAACATATTTTAAATCAATTAATTTATATATATAATAATATATATATATATATATATATATATATATAAATATAAAAGTGAACATTGAAGCCAACATTCAGAGACGCAATTGTCAGGCCTGACGTTTGCGTCTAGCATGAAACAGACTGTCGCCTCTGAGTATTGACTTCAATGTTCACTTTTATATTTATATTTACATATGCTCTATCTCTGATATTGAGCACTTTATCCCATAAATATAGCACACCTTAAAACTATATTTCTCCAAAATATATATATATATATATATATATATATATATATATATATATATATATATATATATATATATATATAAAAAAAGAAAAAAAAAGTAAGATATATAATCCAGTGTTCTTATTGATATTTTTTATTTTTATTTTTACAAAATAGTGCTCAATGTAAATTTACAGAGCATAAATATTATAAATTAACTGATTTAAAATATTTTTTTCGCTACACAGTTCTAACCATGTTTAAAAAATGGAAGCTAAAAGCATCGAATTTAATTTAATCGACATTAGTTTCATTTCATCCTCAAGCGAATTTTGGAGCAACTTATTTTTAAATTTACTGGGTTTTAAAGGCACGGCAAAAAATCATAATTCAATGTTTCCAAGGATACTGAGAAATCTATTCATCCAGACAAGGGGTTGTTGCGTGTTCATTTTTATTAACTTTTGTTGTATCAGTTATTAGTCCGAAAAAGGGGTTACGTTTAGGTAGGGGTAGGGATGTATTTTTCAACGAATTCTGACATCCGTTAAATGCATGTCGTCAGTTTTTTTTTTTTAATTTTATTGTTAACGGCAAAAAATTATTTTTTCTATTTATATACTTAAATATTTTTTTGGGATGTTTAGTTTAGAATACGTTTTATTTAACTACAATTTTAAAATATTTTCACTTTTAATTTTTAATAGACTATATTTCTTTTTAAAACAAGTAAATATATTAGAATTACTTACAGTATGTAAAATTATTTTTTCATATCAAGTATAAGTATGTATATTACCAGGTCAGATTTTTTTAAAAATTTTATATTTAAATATCATTTAAGAAAAACATATAATAATGACGCCAAAAAATAGCTAATTCATTTCTCTGATTTAGTAAACTTTTATTTTTGAGAAACTTAGTAATATATATATATATATATATATGTGTGTGTGTGTGTGTGCCCGCAGATACAGAAATCGAAACAAATGAATACAAACTGAGATAGATAGATAGATAGATAGATATGAACAGACTGTGTTAGATAGATAAATAGATAGATAGATAGATAGATATGAACAGACTGTGTTAGATAGATAAATAGATAGATAGATAGATAGATAGAAAGATAGATAGATAGATAGATATGAACAGACTGTGTTAGATAGATAAATAGATAGATAGATAGATAGATAGATAGATAGATATGAACAGACTGTGTTAGATAGATAAATAGATAGATAGATAGATAGATAGATAGATAGATATGAACAGACTGTGTTAGATAGATAAATAGATAGATAGATAGATATGAACAGACTGTAATAGATAGATAGATAGATAGATAGATAGATAGATAGATAGATAGATAGATAGATAGATATAAACAGACTGATATAGATAGATAGATTGATAGAGAGATAGATAATGAACAGACTGAGATAGATAGACAGACAGACAGACAGACAGATAGATAGATAGATAGATAGATAGATAGATAATGAACAGACTGAGATAGATGATAATGAATCAGTTGCTAGATTCACCGTTAGTAAAGTTGGTTCACTGTGTCGTGCTAGACAACATTTCTTGCTCAAATCAATCTTACCCCTTTTGTAAGTGTAATGTGCTTCTGTTGTGTATTCAGATATTCCTGATAAAATACAAAGAAGAATCTGCTATGTTATTAGTCCTCACCTGGCCACTCGTCTTCAGTTACTTTCCCTATGCTTTTAAGCTCATCAGAACAATTACCGTGGAAATATTTATAGACTTTCCTCTATGGTACCTAGACTTTATGAATTTATGTGAATTTAAGCGCAGTGCTAGATTGTCAGTTAGGTCTCATCGTTTTACAGTTGAACTGGCGAGATGGAACCGTAAGTTCTATGCTAACAGTTTCTTCTCGCACTTCTCGCTTGTGGAATTCTCTTTCGGCTTCTTGATTTAAATGCAATATTAATAATTATCTTCCGTTTTCTTAATTCCTCCTCTTTTACAGAATCTCCATAATGATGTTTTTTTTTGTTTCTCATATTCTTTCACGCTTAGTAACTCCTTGCACCTTAGTGGCTTTATTGCCTTGCTTGGAGTGAAATGATTAAAATAAAAAAGAAAGAAAGACAAACTGTTAATCGTAGCCAGTTAGTGGTATCAACATTGGCTTCCTTTTCCGGTTTAAATGGCACCTGCCCTCTTTAAATGGTGCCCTCCCCCTAATCCACTTAAGGCAAGTATGGTCTGAGCTATTTACAGTTTTACAGTATCTGTCATGACAAGAACAGATTAACGTGGAAAGAAATCGTTCAAGTGGAGGATTAATAGATTAACAGATTAGTGAGTGACAGCCATTAGCAGTCAGTGTAGGGATCACAGCGAAGGAATGTAGATTCATTCTATTGCCTATCTCTATCATTTCTCACACACTCTCTCTCTCCTTTCTTTCTCACATTTTTCCTCTCCCCCTTAGCTCTCTCTCTCTCTCTCACACATACCTCTCCTTATCTATCTATCTATCTACAGGGTGCGATGGGTAAATTGTCGCTATTTTATATTTTTAATTTCGCGCATGCGCGTTGTGTGTTTCTGATTTTGCCGACTGCACAGTATAGTAGGGTCAATTGGGTGCTGTCTGGGAGAAAAAGAACACCATGATGCCATTCACTCTGCCAGAAATTTGGAAACGGCATACTGAACTGCTTGCCATTCGCGCCGGAAGCTCCAATACAAAAATTTCAGAGTGTCTGGGTGGAAGACAGTGCAGAGGACTCGGAAAGAGTTTGACGAGTCTAATGGTGATTACGAAGGTGTTTGGAAGGATCAATAGTGAAGGCGACGTTCTGCTTGCATTCATCTTCCCAGAGGGCTTCAAACTCAACACAGAGGCCTACATCAAATGCCTTGAGGAGGTAGTGCTGCCCTGGGTCAAGAGGGTTGCTGACCCTGCACTATGTCAGACAAACAGGAGAACCTAGTCATGGCTGTCAGACAATTTCTGCAACCATGTCACTCCTTACATCTGGCCATCTAACTCCCCAGAATGCAACGCCCTTGATTATTATGTGCAGTTGAGCGAAAGACCAAGAAAACTCCTTGCAACATGAAAGATGAAATAAAGGCAAGGATTATGGCAGCATTCACCAACAAGGAGACCGTCCAGAAGAGTTGCAGGAGATTCCGATGTCGTCTGGAGACAGTGGTTGAAGTCAAAGGTGATTTTATTGAATAAATTTATTCTTTGGTATTTCTTTGATAATTTTGTGTAAGTTTGGTAAATACATCTGTTAAAATGAGATGTCGGTGTTAATAAAATTTTTGCGTCATTTAGACGACAGTTTATCCATCGCAACATCTATCTATCTATCTATCTATCTATCTATCTATCTATCTATCTATCTGTTTCGTTCAGTTCATATCTATCTATCTATCTATCTATCTATCTATCTATCTATCTCATTCTGTTCATGTATAACATTTTTCACTTTTTTATCTATCTATTTATCTATCAATCTATCTATCAGATCAGTTATTGAAATGTTTTTTTTTTCACATCGTAGTAGATAATAAATCCTCCTCCATATACTACTGGGAATACCTGTTGCAATACAGGCAGGTGGGACCCATTTAGAAATTCAAGTCATGTAACTCAGTCAGCTGAGACGGTCACCAGTCGAGAGTATTCCCAAATATCTACAGTGGACATCCAAGTCTGCCACTTCCTTCAGGCTTAATAGCCCGCTCTCAAAATCACTACTCCAGCTCATGAACAAAAATTCACGGTGGGCCATCCTCTTGTTGGAGGGTTGGGAGAGATGTGGATATGTCCCGCTGGTTAGGTTCAAGCAACTGACAAGCAAATCTGTAGGATTGAACGGATATTTGCCGTAGCGCCATTGTTAATTATATTAACAAGAGAAGCCATCCAATCAGAAGCCATGACAGTCATGCCAAGTGTAGCGTCAGGTATGATCTATCTATCTGTCTGTCTTGGTATGTTCATATCTATCTATCTATCTATCTATCTATCTATCTATCTATCTATCTATCTATCTCAGTCTGTTCATATATATCTATCTTAGTCTGTCCATATCTATCTATCTATCTATCTATCTATCTATCTATCTATCTATCTATCTATCTATCTATCTATCTATGTACATATCAGTCTATCTCAATCTGTTCATATCTATCTGTCTATCTCAGTCTGTTCATATCTATCTATCTATCTATCTATCTATCTATCTATCTATCTATGTACATATGTCTATCTCAATCTGCTCATATCTATCTATCTATCTTTGTACATATATCTATCTCAATCTGCTCATATCTATCTATCTATCTATCTATCTATCTATCTATCTATCTATCTATCTATCTATAAACATAATAAGTTCAAGTAGATTTCTGATGAAATTTCATCTAGATTACCATGGCTTTATGAATTTAATCGCAGTACTAGATTGGCAGCTAGGTCTCATCATTTTCCAGTTTAAATTATTAGATGTAACCATACGTTCTATGCTAATAGTTTCTTCTCTCGCACTTCTTGCTTGTGGAACTCTCTTCTGGCTTCTTGTTTCCCAGTCAATTTTGATCTTCAAACATTTAAATGCAATGTCAATTGTTTTCTTAATTGCTGTTATTTTATTGTCCTCTCTCATTCATAGAGTTTTTTTTTTATATTCTATCACAGTCAGTATCGTGGAGATCAATAATATTCAGACCCAGCAAGCAATCCCTCTGTTTACCGAGAGAAGGTTTGCGGGATCTCATATAGAACCTCTAGAACCTCCCATTCTAGAACCTTGAGATGATATAATGATTGTGACCGAGACAGAATAAAGAAACGGTATATATATATATATATATATATATATATATATATATATATATATATATATATATATATATATATATATTCGTTATCTCGCCATTAGTTTACAATTCATTTCCCAATGTATGCTCGACATTTTGTTAATGACCTATCCAGGTGGCGATGTCAGAACGGTGAGTGCTGTGTTATAATTGGCTACTTATTGGCAGCCTTGCCATTATATAGCTTCGGCAAGAACTACGAGCAACCTGTTCTTTATCTTTGAGAATAAACATACCCAGCGAAGATTTGTGTTTACTATTATTCCTCCAAGCTCCACTGAAGGCAACAAAATAAGATTGTTGCAAGGGAAGCGTACAAAGAGGGGGAAGGGTTGTGTATCATGAAGATATGTAGGATAGAAAATGATTGTCCCCAAGACTTGAAGATTCTAATGATCAAGGAAAGATCCTCTCGCGAGCCTGCTCCACAATGTGATATTTACGAGGAAAGGGATGCCTGAGTTGAACTTCCTCCTTACTAACGGAATATCTACGGAATGATGACAACTCGACTCAGCTATATCGTGGCAAGTCCTAGCTGTGAAAGTCTGAACTGATGAAATATTAGAAATATCGTTCGCTCGAATATCTGTAATGAAAATGCCGAGAAGCCAACAACTTTTTACTTGTGGGAAAGCGGATGTTCTTGAAGATAGCAATCGTGTCACACGCAATGAATCCGCCGGGTCTTACAATCTTCCAGAAGTTGAGGGAGTTTGTGTGTATGATTCTGTGCACACTTTGAATCAGGGCATATATTTTTGTTCATCCATTTGTTGTCGAAAGGGGGGCTGTCCACACTATAGCAGTGGATATTTCCTTCAAAAAGATTGTTCTTTCCAATGCGGAAAATGCCTTCTATCACCTTTTATTATTTCTGTTCGTTTCATTTAGTCCAGACATGGCTTTGATGTTATTGGGTGGAGTCATACATTGAACACTGCGACCAAAAATAATCATCTTTTCCCATATTACGAAAGAAGGGAAAACAGTTTACCTCATGGAATAGTTTGGTTTGTTTTGTTTTACGGTATATCAACCTCAATGGGTTATTTAATGCCGACAACATTTTTAGGATAGATTCGTATGAATAGAATATGTCTTCTTTGGTTTAGATTGGTTTGGTTTATTTTGTTTTACAGCATATCAACCTCAATGTGTTATTTAATGCCGACAACATTTTTAGGATAGATTCGTATGAATAGAATATGTATTCTTTGTTTTAGATTGGTTTGGGTTATTTTGTTTTACGGCATATCAACCTCAATGGGTTATTTAATGCCGACAACATTTTTAGGATAGATTCGTATGAATAGAATATGTATTCTTTGGTTTAGATTGGTTTGGTTTATTTTGTTTTACGGCATATCAACCTCAATGGATTATTTAATGCCGACATTTTTTATTGCTGGTAATATTTTGTTTTGTCAAAAATCTGTTTCTGGTAATATTTTTCCTTCAAAAATGTATTGCTGGTAATAATTTTTTTCAAAAAAGTATTGCTGGTAACAGGTGCTACCACCTGGGAACACCAGCAATTAAGAGGTGGTTCCACGCTCCCCATAACCTCCTGATCAGAGGCCTTGCTGATGGATGTAGTTTATCGTCTTACCCAGGACGACCTCCTGGAATAAAACGCGCTCGTACATGCGTTGCGTACAAGATAGGTGAAGGAAAACATGGCCGATCCAAAAGCTACCTGATCTCATAGCTCTGAGAAATTGTGAGAATTTGCCACTTGAGCATGAGGGAGAAAACAGTCCAAAGAAGAAGAAGACGAAGAAGTAGAGGAGGAGTCGGAGGAAGAGATGAAGAAAAAGAAGAAGCTTCTCCTGCTGCTCCTGCTGCTGCTGCTTCTGCTGCGATTGCATCTGCTCCATCTCGGAGGCCTTCTCTCCTCCCTTGCGTTCCCCACACCGTTGCGTAACATCTTTTACGTAGCTGTGGCGTGACCAGCTATGACTGACTTCGACAAGCTCTGACAAGCTAAGATCAGCATAGCCAAGCTTTGACCAGTTTAGATAAGCTATGACCAACTTAGACCAGCAGCTCCAGTGGAAAAAACTGACCTTGTGTCACAACCTAATTCAGTGGTTGTGATGGTGGTGGGGAGGTCAAGTAAATCTCGGATTCTTCCGGGATCATTGGCAGAGGAGGACGAGGCTTTTCTTCCCGTCGAAATAAATGCTACGGTTGTAATATCTTCCGTGCCGGGGCGTTCTCTCCTGCCAAACTTTGACCAGCTTAGACAAGCTAAGATCAGCTTAGACCAGCGGCCCGAGTAGAAATACTCGGGTACCCACGTTAAAAACCGACCTTGTGTCACAACCTCTGTCAGGGTTGGATTAAGGTAAATCTCATGGCAACCGAGGCCAACAAATCTGGTGGGCGTGATTTGTTTGTGATCATAAAAAGACTGGAAACAACTGGTAATCCAAATCTAGCGTATTGTTTTTACAAATGTAAACAAATGCCCAACAACCGGAGTGCTCTATTCATTTTACTGAAGAGCTTCGCATTTGCGCAGGTGGCTGTTGTTTTGGGAATTAGCTTGTCATTCAACAGTGCTCAATTGAAAATATATTTTCAAGAGCTAAATTATGTCATTCGCAGACAATTCTGTTTTGCTGTATTACAGCTCTTCAGTGCGACTAGTTTTCCGAATGCCTCAAGGCAGGATGGAAACAACCAATATATATATATATATATATATATATATATATATATATATATATATATATATATATATATATATATATATATATATATATATATCACCTTCATCCCTGCCGTGCGTCAACGGATTAGTGGTAGAATACCAATTCAGTCGGGTTTCGATCCTAGCTAGAGTCAACTGAGCGTCTAACCACACTGATGAGTTGTGATAAAGGGAAACAGTCTGTCTGTGGATGACAATATATATATATATATATATATATATATATATATATATATATGGATAGATAAGAGAGAGAGAAAGGGAGGGAGGGAGAGAGTGTGGAGGTGTATGCAGAATTTTCCTTTAAAAAAAAACTGGTTTTCAAATGTGGATTTAGTTTTAATTTTGAAAAAGAGGTTGCTGCGAATTAGTGCCCACCCCTAATATGCATAATGCTATGGGTGAGCAGTGTCCAGGGTCGGAGATAGAGAATTTGTAGACATAGACGCTGTAGGGATGGAAGTGAACACTGCATTTTTCAAATACCAAACTTTAGAACCGAAGGAAAAAAAAATTAGATAAAAAAATAAAAAAAGCAAAAGAAAATAAGAATAAATGAATAATAAAAATAAATAAATCCAAGGTCGTGTCTAGAAAGAATTCAAAACATTCGCTTTAATAGAGAGAAAAAAACTGGTAAAAACCGGTTTTACCTTTCTGTCACTCCCCCAGACTCCCGGGGTATGCGGGTGGTGTAATGGATAGCGACACCGAATGGGAAATTGGAGTGTCGAGTTCGAATTCCAGTCGGATTCCTTACATACACTTACGCAAAAACACTCCAGGGAAAGTTATGAATCTTAATCCTCCCAATATGGGTTAAATAGTAAGACTTGTCTCTGGAAAAATTATTGTAACCCTAAAAAAAAATATCCTTCCAATCCAAAATATGTTTCGGTTTTAAATAACCTCCAAATGGTTGATAATTCATAAAAAAAGAAATCAATCAATCAATCTATACAAGACTCTGTAGTGGTTTATGTATAGAACACACACAGAAAATAGGTACACATGATTGTTGATCACTTAGTTCTACTAACTCTAAGCTGAGACACCGCGGATATTGAGGTGAACTATCCTAATTGTCTTTGTATTCCATTAGTAAGGAGCAAATTCCACTCGGATAGCTTCTTTCCAAGTTTCTAGCTTTGTGGAAGAGAATCCCAGGAGGGTGCTTTCCCGACCACTACAGTTTTTAATCTCTTGTCTAGGGTTAACCGTTATCTTTCCCATATATCCACTCTGTCCTTTAATCTTAACTGCACAACAACCACCTCAAGTAACTCTCTGCCTTGAGTGGCCCTTGGACGGAATTTGTGATCGAGTGGCGCTCTATCGAGTCTAATTCGTTACCTTTTCGTCACCGAGGCCCATTGGTAGAGTTGGTATGGCGTTTGCCTCCTATCGTAACTGTTCGGGTTTCAATTCTCAGTAAATATAGGACGAAACGGCTGTCCAGTGCTTTCTGCATTCTGTTGAGGTTTCTTCTAGATTCGATGAATTAATTATGATATATATATATATATATATATATATATATATATATATATATATATATATATATATATATATATATACACTACGTGCCACAAGGTCCCCAAACGACACTCCCGCAGGTTTTGGATTCAGAGTTGTCCTTCTCCTAGACCAGTTGCCATCAAGGCTATAGAACCCAGTCTGTCCTACTATTTGCCCATAGCTGGAGGGAGAAGAGGATTCACACCTTTCTCAAGAGTATTAGCACGTAAGTGAATGTAATCGGCCCTTCAAAAAGTGTGGATGGTCCT